AATAATAATAATAATAATTTAAAAATTCAATTGCACCTTTCCACCCAATCAGCGTCTACAAGGTGGCAAACATAAAAAAATAAAATATCGGAGCAGCTAAAATACAGTTAAAATTATTTTAAGAATTCAATCAAAAACACATAAACAGACAACACTAGGAGGACCACATCACTATTACACCCCTCAGTTTGAAGATCTCAACAGGATGTGACTTTTCAAAACAAAGCACCATTTCAACACGGCAGTGATTCAGTGACCTGCACACCTGAACTGGAAGCCAGTCAAGAACCTGGAAGCCCAGACATCTGTTTCAAGCTCCCGTTTGACTCGGCTACCACCTTCAGGAGCAAACCGCGTCTCTTGCCTTCCCTTGCCCCAACATGCCCCTCAGTCCAGCAGAAGGCAGCTGCCCACATCTGCCAGCCCAGTGGCTTAGGACTGGAAGCACTGCTTTGGGGGAATCTCAAACCTCTGCCAAATCTGAACAGGAGCACAATGTCATGGGAAAGAGGTCCATCAGGGCCAGCTGTGATGTCGTGATTAAGAACGGCAGACATCTGGAGAACCGGGGTCGATTCCCCACTCCTCCTCCACATGAAGCCAGCTGGGTGACCTTGGGCCAGTCACAGCTCTCTCAGAGTTTTCTCAGCCCCGCCAACCTCACAGGGGAGAGGAAGGGAAGGAGACTGCAAGCTGCTCTGAGACTCCTTTGGGTAGTGAAGGGCGGGGTATAAAAACCAACCCTTCTTCAATGGCTACTAAAGGGAGCCTCCACATAGAGGGGCAGTAAACCCCTGAATCTCAGTGCCGGGAGGCAGCATCAGGGGAAGGCCTCAGCCTGTATGCCCTGCTGATGACCCTGATTGGCCACTGTGAGAGACAGGATGCTGGACTAGACGAACTATTGCTCTGATCTTCTTCTGGTGTTCCTCTCAGGGGAAGGCCTCAGCCTGTATGCCCTGCTGATGACCCTGATTGGCCACTGTGAGAGACAGGAGGCTGGACTAGACGAACTATTGCTCTGATCTTCTTCTGGTGTTCCTCTCAGGGGAAGGCCTCAGCCTGTATGCCCTGCTGATGACCCTGATTGGCCACTGTGAGAGACAGGAGGCTGGACTAGACGAACTATTGCTCTGATCTTCTTCTGGTGTTCCTCTCAGGGGAAGGCCTCAGCCTGTATGCCCTGCTGATGACCCTGATTGGCCACTGTGAGAGACAGGAGGCTGGACTAGACGAACTATTGCTCTGATCTTCTTCTGGTGTTCCTCTCAGGGGAAGGCCTCAGCCTGTATGCCCTGCTGATGACCCTGATTGGCCACTGTGAGAGACAGGAGGCTGGACTAGACGAACTATTGCTCTGATCTTCTTCTGGTGTTCCTCTCAGGGGAAGGCCTCAGCCTGTATGCCCTGCTGATGACCCTGATTGGCCACTGTGAGAGACAGGAGGCTGGACTGGAGGGACCCTCCCTGGTTTCATCCAGCGGGGCTGTTCCTAATGTTCTTAATATGAGGACAGTGTTTAATCAGAGCTGCTTCAGAGTGCAGCAAAGTGGCTGCAACAGAAAGTCAGTCTCCCTCCTTCCCTGGAGACGCAGCTCAAATAAGAAGAAGAAATCCCTGCCCATGGCTTTAAGACAGCATTCATTATAGACACGATAATCTCCTCACAAATAATTCCTCTGGGTGGGCGGGACAAGCGTGGCCTGGTAGATAATGCTGGACTTGGGCAACCGCTTGTTTTCTCCAAATTTCCCAGAAGGCCTCCCAGCTGGATCCTCCCCAAAAGCAACAAATCAATTGCAGGAATATCCTAAGGAGCCGCTTCAGCGTCGCAACATCAACCCTGGGTCAAAACCCCGCCACTTGCCCATTATGGGGTGGTCTGCAGAGATCACACCAATACCAGCTGGATCGCAAAGCAGGAGAACAAACCCACGTTCCAAAGAAGTAAGATTTATTTCCAAAGCATGGTTGATCATGAACATACAGAGAATTGTCCAGAATGACTACAATACACAGGGGCAATATAATATAGGAACTTCAAACTTGGTTAACC